GTATGCAGAAGAAGCTTGGGCAAATTACTTATTCCCCCCGCTGTGCTTCAGTTCCCTTAGCTGTAAAATGGGATTGATAAAAATAATTTCGGGGTAACTGTGAGGCTTACACCAGTCAATCTGCGCGAAGCCTTGAGAACATTCTATGGCACACAGCTGCCCAACAACAAGCCATCGACGGGGGATCCTTTCTGATAGACACGGAGGTGGCCTTTTGCCATCACAGTGCTGCAAGACGTGTCCTTGTTCACCTAGTCCGTGGCACAAGTGCAAGAATCTCTGTGGGATAAATACCTGCTGGAGAAATCGCTGGCGCAAGCAGGAGTGCCCCGGCTTTAATTCTATTTGGATGAGTCGGTCCGTCCTCACAGCAGATGGGAGCAGGGACCAGGTCCCGGAGGACCATGGAGGAGAGGGATGGGGGGTTCTGTCTCTGATCTTCAGAGGATATGGTGGCTCCCCAGGCCCCCGGCCAGGCAGACGGAGGGTTTAATTTTATCTAGGTTGTCCCCAGAAGAGTTTTTACAGGAAATTGGTTGATAGGCTTAGAGGAGCAGGAGCCTCTAATGGGCAGTGACTGCTTTATAAAATGCTCAAAGAGGTATAATATTGCTTTGCCACCACCCTCTGCGGCGGCATCCAGACTCTCAAAAGGCCCCTTAGGATGGCACCCCAATTGGGGTCTCTTTCCTTAAAATCCTTCTGGGGCCTGGACATGCCAGAACAGGGAATAGAGAAAAGGAACAGACAGAGGATAGATTTTTGACAAGAGATTCACCAGAATCACTGTTTTCTTGGAGCAATTCATTTCCCTTTCTGTGCTGCAGAGAATAACAGTACCTAACTAAACTCACTGGGTTGTTGTAAAGACCAAACGAAGTCAAACTTTGAGAGTGCTTGGTGCAGCAGGGGACTTAGCTCAGTGGTTCTGCTGCCTGCTTTGCAAGCTGCAAGGATCGGAGTTCGATTCCCCAGTACCAGAAAGGAAAGCGCTTGGTGAAATGCCCGGCACACAATGGCCTAGAAGATCGGGTGGAGAATGGGCTAGTTACCCTGATCCAACCCCAGGAGGCCCAAGGAACCGGACCCAACCTTGAAGCCTCCTGGGGAGCGTGGTCAGCACCTGCCCCAACCACCGCCTAGGAGATGCTTCAGATTTCCCAGCCTGTGGCCAAGTAAAGGCCTTGCTCGAGACCCCCTCCACGTTTTGGGTGAGACGCAAAAAAGGTGGGGCCCCTCAGAAGAGGAAGAGTTGGACCCAAAAGGGTTTTTCCCAAGCCCCATCAACCTCCCTGCCATGTGTGGTCTGACTTGGTTGAAGATCTACTCCGAGGAATCCTTCAACTGTTAGGAGAGCAGTAATAGCCTCTGCCCCATTGATCCACGCGGTAGACAAATGGATGAAGGGCAGAGCTCCGGGACCGCACAGACGGGAGGAGCCTCTACGCCAGCCTGAGTACCGCCGAGCGTCAGCCCCTTCCTCCCCCAAAGCGAGGATGGGTAGGAAACCAATGGGACGGCGCCGGCACAGCCGGGACGCACCCCGCCGCCGCGCAGGGA